TGTTAAGGAGAACGTTTGGATGTATGAGAGATGAAATATTAGGAGGCTGGAGAATACTGAATAATAAGAAACTTTATAATTTGTGCTTCTCACCAAACATTAGTAGAACAATAAAATCAAGGAGGGTAAGATGGGCATGACATATTGCAAGCTTGGGACGGCAGAGAAGTGCATACAAAGTTCTGGTAGAAAAGTCTGAAGGAAAGAGACCACTAGAAAGATCGATAGAGATGGGAGGATAATATTAAAATAGATCTCAAAGAAACAGTATTTGAGTGTGTGGGCTGAGTACATCTAGCTCTGGATAGAGACCAGTAATGAGCAATTGGCTTCCACAAAATGTTGGGAATTTCTTGAATAGCTGAGCAACTTTTGACTCTTCTAGAAGGAGTCATTTCTGTGGTGTCACTGTAGCTAGTTATAGATGACTATTTCTAGCCAAACAAAATTGCTGATGTTTGAGAAGTAACTCATACTTATGATAAAACGTTTACAAAGAATTTCTGATATAAATATGTAATCATATCATAATAATGACAGAGAAGGCTTTAACCTTTATAGATCATAATTGCATTAGTGTAACAGCACCACCACATTGTCCAGTTAGTTGAGTACTGAATTTTTTCAATATAAATACACTTACCCCAAGTTAAAATTCAGCTGCCAGCCCTGTAGTACCAGGGACTTAATACCCCTATTTCTTGATGATAAATATATTATTTGTGCACTTCTTGAAGCAATATAGAAAAATTACAGGCATTTTAGACAGCACAGCCTTCCCTGGAGTTCAGTACCCCAAATTTCAGAGTAAAGAAATTGTAAATTATTATTTCTCACCCTTCAATCATATGCTTCAGAGCTGTTCAAAATGTACAGGATTTTAATTAATCATGTTATAGCAAAACTAATCTAAAGAAGATAATTTATCTTAACAAAAGAAAACTTGTGAGAATTGTACATTAAAAAATCTAGTGAAAGTCAGGCCCTGATTCTCACTAACTGTGCCTGATACAGCCTGCAAAATCTACCACATCACCATGTCTGCTGTTAAAATTAAAGAGCTCGTCTGCAGCAGTAACTAAGGAAAGCCAGAAAAATGATGGACTTTATTTTTTATATCAGTGTGGGATCTATTCTGCAACATACAAACTTTCATCAATATTACAGAGACTTACATTAAACATAAACACTACACTCTCTATTGTACATATATTTATATGCTGTATATTATCTTTCTCGATAAAATTTTGTTCATATGCTCACAAGTTCTTATTCTTGTAAATATGTATATAATTCTTATATCCTTCATTAGATAGTCAAGTTCCATAATCATGATATCTTGTAAATGTAATTAAAGAAGCTTAAGATTGGAAAATAATAATATTAATATGCATCATGGGCTTCAATCCATTATTTATTAGTTGGTAGTAAATGTGCAAAAACTATCTTGAATAATAATTTAAGATTTATTTCTGTATATCATATTAAGCAGTCTTCATTCACAAGGCTGCTTGGGTGCAGAGTTTATCTGCCTGTACCACTCCTGCCATTCTGCTCAGTGCCAAGTGTTTCATCTGACTCAAGAGGAAAAATAGAACACGATGTATAGCTTGATTATTAGGTTAACTGGGGCAGGCAGTGTCAGAATGTGCAGTATATTTTATTTATCTGAGATAACTCAAATGCAGAAAAGAAAGGTTTTACCATCTTTGAATTTTATTACAGGTACAATAATAGATGTAAACTTTGTGACTATGCAACATATCAGTTACTAAATAATGTAATGGGGCCCTCCTTATTTCAGTTTCAGAGTTTTCTTTTCCTAAAACTCTCCCAAAAGTACTCTCATTTTTTAATTACTTGTTTCCAGAGTGCTGCTTCCCACCTGTCACCCTTAGATGCCTCTTCCTGTTCAGTACCAAACACCATTTCCCTTGTGAACGTGAAAATATGTGACACACTCGATTGTACCATTTCAGCATGTGTTTGGTGAGACTGGTTGCAAGGGGTGTGGGGGGAAGCCCTGCACACCAGCTGAGAGAATGTTTTCGAAATGAAAGCTTTTCCAGTGTATCTTTCTGAATTTCAGGATGTTATTAAAATTAATGGTTAACGAGTCCTACCACTTAAAATGATTTTGGTAATAATAATAATTTATTTACCTTTCATTTAGTGAAAATTATTATAATTGTATTATTTTCTGTCATTTGTCATTCAAGTATATATTTTATACTTTTATTGACTAAATCATCTGAACAGAATGCCATCAGATTCAACATCTTTAGCTTACTTCTGTAAATATGAAACATGAAACTATGAATTTCTACAGTACAGTGAATGTGTACAAGGTATGTATGAGCATCAGTTAAATTTTCATAGAACCAATGAACTGAGATGAACCAAAGTGCATATCACCTTCATATTTTGGCAATATTGAAATTAATACTGAAAACTAACATCATTATAAATCTTGGGGTATCAACTCAGTTTTAGTCAAATTTATCCAAGTAGCAATATTTTAATTGTTAGCAAAACCATCTGGACACATCAGTAGTGGCATCATGGATTTTAAAAATGACATCAAAAACTCTGTGTGCATGTGTGTGTGTGCATGCATGCACATGTGTAATTAGGAGATGGGTGGGTGGGAAGTTGGATTACCTAATGCCATTAAGGCATGTATTATGAAGAATCTAGATAGGAACTACAGAAATAGGAACATCTACATTCTATCTGACAGCCAGGCTGCACTTAAAGCGCTTGACAAACACCAGATCAACTCAAAATTGGTCTGGGATTGCCACCAAACCCTCATGCAACTGGGCAAACATAACAGGGCACAACTGATATGGGTGCTGGGGCATGAGGGTATTGCTGGAAACGAAATAGCAGACCAACTGGCCAAGATTGGAGCTGAACATCTGGTCATAGGACCTGAACCAGGCTGTGGCATTGCTACAGGAGTTGCCAGAAAGGCAATCAGGGACTGGAGAAATATGAATCCAAGAAATACTGGGGATCCTTAACTGGACTCAGGCAAGCAAAGGGACTCATACGAGGACCCTCTACTAAAAGATCAAAGGAACTGTTGAAGTTAAATAGGAACTAGCTACGATGGGTGGTAGGACTACTTATAGGGCACTGTCACCTCAAAGGACACCTCTTCAAATTGGGACTAAGTAACAGTCCAACTTGTGAGAGGTGCCAAGAAGAAAATGAAACAGCCACACATATCCTGTGTGAATGTGAGGCCTTAGCTTATTTAAGATTGTGCCACTTGGGTCTATATTTTATGGAACCAAGTGACAATTTTGACATCTCCACATACAAAATCCTGTGCTTCATTCGAAACGCAGGACTTTTGAGGGGATAATCAGGAGGAGAGGCACAAGAGATCACTGTGGTTACAGTGCAAGGGCCAAGAAGGCCTACCACTTATACATTTATTCATTCATTCATTAGTTGGATTACTTAGATCCATAGAATATGTATGATATAAGTAGAGCATGTGGAATATCCATAGGATATCTTGCAGGTATGTGTTATGTATGTGGTGGATGAATACCTTCAAAAAATGATATCAAAGCTACCAAAACGTTTTAACCTTGATAAGAGAGAAATCTACTATATCATGTACGTTACAATAAAGAAACTTGCCATAAAGGTAACAGTTCCAAAGCAACAAAATCCCCCCCCCCTAATTTCTGTTTCACTTCATTTGTGCTGAACATCTCATGAAATTGTTACTTTGTTTCCATTAGTGAAATACATATTGGTGTCATAACTAAATGCACATTCTAGGAGACCAATTTCATTCCTCCAAATGTTCTTGAAACAAGTTATTGTATAAAAAGCTGTTTTGTTGTGACTAAAAGTTGAATTGCAACACTGTTTTTCCATTGTGGGAGGTATTTTTGAGATCCCTTCCCCTATAAAGATAGGATTTTGTGTTTTGATGTTCACCTTGGAATGAAATTAATTTTATGAATGAGTTCTAGTATGGTGGAACAGTTTCATGTGTGGTCAATTCATTGAACTCGAACAATTAAGGTCATCTCCCATAAAGGTAGCAAGTAGTACAGTCGAACCCACAGCTGGATTTCAGTTGCTGGGAAAGGTGACTAAGAACAGAGAGATATTTGGGGATATAATGCCATGTAGTCTAACCAAAGTCAAATTGTCAGCTGACTCACAGTACTGCATGGTATTATATACTAGTAGATAGAATTCTTTACATCAAATGTTGTGAGTCCTGAGGTTCTCATGGCAGTGAATATAAAAATTGCTGTCTTTTGGACTGTAGAGTTGTGTATTCTGGCAGACTACAAAGCGTCACATAAGTGATAACATTAATTGGCAGTAATCATAGACGTACACTGTGCTAGAGTTGGCCAAAGCATTGGGTTCTGATACACTGAACACATATTAATAAACTGGTTGAACAAGTATATTCACAACATGGTTCCAGAAAACCAAAAGTGGCTTGAACCATGGAGGTTAAGGGTAAGTAAAAAAAAAATGTATCCCTGTAACAGGCCTTGGAGGCCCATAAGGTTGTGAGATGTTGAGATTCCCACATTTTCTTGACAATCGGCTCATAGATGGCGGTAAGGTTGTCAGCCCTACGCGCCGACCGCCCTTACCCCCAAGAATATTCTAAGAATACTCCTGGTACTGATTTCTGTTGGAGGCTGAGTCGACTCCAGGGCCATAGTGCGGCTGGAAGGGCTAGGTAAATTGAAAAAAAATTCAATGACCTCATCGTGATTCGATCCCGAGACATTTCGGCTTGTATCATGGTGCCTAAACCAACTACGCTACCGCGTGTCCAGGGGGTTAATGGTAGAACAAGAAATACGTCCACATATTGAGCTTGTACCGACTAATATTTCTAAGTCGGTCTCAGGCGGTGTTGGCTACTTCGAAAATTTACCGTTAGATGGTGTTGGATGGTGATCTGGTTAAACTGTGTGACGTCATAATAGTCGCCTTATTGGTTATTGGATTTGTTGCTACGATATGTATGTTTTACATAATTTGCTTTGTGAATAGCAGCGACTTATTTTGCAAATGTACAGGTGTGTCAGTATTTATCTGTTAAAGTTCGGGGACAGAACGTATATTGAAGCAGAGAGATTAAATTACTTTCGAGTTAACGATTTTTTGCTCACAATAGCGCCGCCTTTCACTTGACGGTTGTGTAATCGCTCCGACAGTGCTTCGCAAAGAAATTACCCAATAAAAGTCGTAAAAGGGTGCAAGCTGTGGTGCTGATAACAACCGACAGGAAACACTGATAATGGCATCAGCTGGTTCGCAGGATAACGGGGGTGTAGCGGATCAGTGCATTCCACAATGGAAGCGAGAGCTTATCTTACGACGACGAGCTCTCGCACGGGCTTTGCCTGCAGGTAACACTTCAGTGAAGCTTACCTGCCCAAGTGTTGTGACCGCAGTGAGACATCCCGAAGTAACAACAGCTGGTGAAAACGTCAGTGGGAAACAGCAACGTTGCAATTCGTCTGCAGTAGCCTCGAACAAGGGCGTACTAGACCAAACCCAAGCGGACTTTCACCCCAGAGGACGCATTAACGACACATCCTCTGCCTCAGCAGTCTCAGCTTCAGTAGTTGGGAACATGCGGCTGGTGGATCATCGAGTTGAAGGGGGCACTGATGTTGTGATTAATGGCGTCGGCCAGGACATAGAAGTTGAACAGAATTCAGTTAAATATCGTTCCAGAATGGGGGAGGAGAAATATGTGAAGGTATCTAGTGCTTCAAGGACAATTGTGGACAACTGTGTAGTGAACATGACAAAAAACCGCTTTGTTATGGGTGAAAACAACAATTGTCAACATTCCAATGATGATTGTGATTCAGATTCAAGTGAAGAACTGCAGTATGGACCAGGTATCGTCAACAAATTAAAATGTAAATATATGAGCATGACATTGAGAGAGAACCAAAATAAAGGGGTTAGGCCGTCGCTATCGAATTTGAGGCGAGCGACAAGCTTGGAAAACATGTTCGATAATGACTCGGATACAGGAAAACCACAGATAACTCAGCACAGATTTACCAAGAGAACGGATGCCACTAACAACTCAAATAAGACAGAATGTACATCAGAAAACCAGCAGAGATATCGGCCTACAAGTCGCAGGAATGATTCCATGAAACGTGCTCGATCTGTTGAAACACTTCTGCGATATGACCCCAAGTCTCAAGCTGCTACAGGGCATAGTATTCCAAGTGATTTGCCTGTTTGTGATCATATTGTGAAACCAGAATTCAGGGACTATAATAAGAATAACACTAGATTATTGAAGGCACTAGGAAATGAGGAAATAGTTATTGTTGAAAATAAAATGAAGGTTGAATGTAACAGGAAGACTGTTAGTGAAGAAAAGGCACCAATGTTCCAGCAGAAGAAGAGAACGTCCAATATTTCTGAAGAAACAGAGTTACCTCCGCCAGATGTTGTCAAACAAACAATGAAGATATTTGAAGGGACATCTTCAAAGAAGACATCACGACTGACCAGAGCTCCAGGTGTGTCACTGAAATCGGCTCCTTATAAACATGGTGGCGTGTCTTTGTCAAAAGTCAGCAGTAATATGGATGAACTGAAAGGCTCATTAAACACAAAACCATTATTATCACCAAAGCCAGTTATAAGCACTGAAAAGTATATTCCAAATACTCATTCACTAAGGAAGTTTCCACCTTCACAACTCCCTCCTGATGTTCAACACAGCACATCACCAACCCTGAATAGCAGGATACTTGCAGTAGATACCTTGTCTCCATTAGTTGGTCCAACAGGAGCTACAAAATTAAAATCCTCTTCACCTACTGAAAGTGGTAAAAAAATAATTGGTATACCATCGCCTCAGGTTGATGATCCTATTTGTATGCCTGCTCCACTGACAAATGGAAAAATTACAGGACAAGATTTGATTGTTCGAGAAAATAATAGTTCTGGTGAAGATGATGATGATGATGATGGTGATGGTTCTGCTGATGCTGTAGATGGTGCTACAAAAGTTGTCTCCAACTCTGCACTAAACAATATCAGAAAAGATGGAATGTCAGTAGAGTTCAAATTTGGTAGTAGTACTCCAAGTACCAAATCAAAATCATACCTACCGGGTGCAAATAGTTATTTGCCAACTGGACAGACTTCAGTTCCATCAAAGATTGTTACTCGGAACCAAAAAGTTACTTCACCTGCCCTGGAAAGACGGGATTTTCTAACTGCAGCGAAATCCACCTCAGTTGCACCAGTTGTGAAGTCTCCAGACTCACCTCAGAACCAAATGAAACAAGTCTGTGTGATACGTCCAATTGTTAACAATTCTCACCCCACCTCACCTCCTCCTTCACTCACAGATCGTGAAATTGAAAAGAACTTTATTAATCGTACAAAATCAATTGAACAACCAACTAGTAAAGTTGTAGTCTCACTTAAATCAGCGAATGATGTTGTTGTAGGCAAGGTGTTGTTGGAACCCACAAAGGGACATACAGGTGATAGTGTGAAAAGTGTGAATGACTCGGTGACATTTAAGAGTACTAGTGAAGCCAAAGGTTCGGGACTGTGGGATAACAAACCTTGGAATCAGCCACAGAACACAATGGTTTTCAACTTTAGCGGTCGAAAAGGTCCTGTGCCATCATACATCGAGAATGATGGTTTGATCCTCAGCAACAGGAAGAATAAATCATCGGTAAGTCTGTGTTAATTGTGTTTCCTGTATCAGTTGTTGGTGTACCCATGTAAAATTCATAGGTGAAATATTATGACTTGTAAAATTTGGAAAGATGCATGTCATTATACTGTGGTGGCCAGTATGTTAGGTAAATTAGATTAGTTTGTGTTAAGGCTAGCCAGTTACAGAAACCAAATTTTAGTGATTGGTTAAATTCAAAATATTTTGGAACCGAAACTGAAATTCGTCAGTGAATGCATGTTGTCAGGATTGCACGAATGTGGTTACCCATTCACCACAAATGAGTTAAAAAGAGACCAGTATTGAATATAAAAATATTCATATGAAGTATGCTACTATGTATGGATGAATGAATTTCCTGCAAGTATCTTGTAAAGTTAAGTTGTATATCTGGAGCCCTGCATGTGATCATCACGACTGTTCTGTACAAACACACGAATATAAAAGACAGCCATTTAGGGTGCCATTAGACATTATGTGTGGCATTAATGTCATTATGTTGATGCTGCATATTTGGTATTATTTGATATAAAGTAATGCTGGGAGTCCCCTCTGCAGTGTTTATTGGGGTCTCTTTCCCTGAGGATAAAGCAATTAGTGAATGATTCTGATCATTCACTTCCATTTAGGGCAGAGGTTAGAAATGCATTCAGATCTACTTATATTCCCCATATATCTTCATGACCAACTCCATGGCCTGTAGTCTGCAAGTGAACTATACTGACCAAGTATTTTATTATTATTATTATTATTAGAGGGGGTGGGTTTCCCCATGCACTTAGACCGGTTATTGGTCCATTGTGCGTCCCCCTTTAATTTCTACTGTCGCCATACCCTACCGGTACTGCTGTGTGCTATCAGCCCTGTCCAGCCAATGAGGTCGGCCCTCGGTACCTGATACTTCCCCCATCTACCAGAGGCATTGGAAACTACTTGGGCAGGAAATGTGTTGCCTAATTTTGCTCAGAGGTCTCCTAAGGACATGAGGATACTGACCAAGTAACCGCAGCTTGTCGGTGATGTTAGTGCCAACTTTAGCTGATAGAGGGTGTCGTGTTGTCAGAGCAACAAATCACCACAGATGTTAATCTCGGTTTTCTAGACCAGAGCCACTATTTCCTTGAAATATCTCCTCAGTTATCCTCCTGTGGCTGAGTGGACCCCGTTCCAGACCCACTGCTTCTCAGAACATCTGGTAGCACTGGGAATTGAACCCGGGACCTCTGGATTTGTAGCCAGGAATTCTGACCACTATACCACACAGGTGATCTATACTTTCATGACATGGTGCTTAATTAAGCAAAGGGACAGGTCTACCTTTTTAACTTTTCAGAATGTGGTATGGATTCTACATCATTCAAATTGACAGAGCTCTTTCTGATCCCTCATGTTTTCTTCTTCCTTGTGTAGTTATTTCACTTTAGCTCAGTTTAATGTGACCTATACTGTATTCTACACTTCAGCAGTATATTGGACAAACCCTTAAATGTGCATAATTTTGATGAAATAATTCAGTACAGCCTTCATGCCAGGATGTTTATTTGTGGACTGTCATTTGTGAAAGGTTTATTTACATAAATATGACATTCATCTCATATAAAGAGACTTGAATTAATACAAGCAAATATGGAAATATTTGGTTTTTGGTATACCCACCTACATGAATGTACAAAAGGTAGTTGACACATCTTAAAATCCCCCCCCCCCAAAAAAATAGTCTGCTTAGTAGTGGTACAGAACCATAACATCTGTTATAAAGTGGCTAGTTTGGTATCCAAGTTGTTGCAGTTCCTGGCAGAGTAATACCACATGTATATATAACTACTTCTGAGATATCTTATTTTACAGGCATATTAGATTCCACAATGCCTACAAATAGTGTGGTTAATTTCTGTAAGCTGCTTTTTCAGGTTTCCTGATAGGTAAAAAGTCCACACATTCATACAAATCAAGTACTCATGATTGATCCCTTCTCCATCAAACAGTTTTTCAAAGCACACTTTATAAATTCTTCATAAATATAAAATTGGAATAACTGGTGTTTATGAAATGCAAGCTTTAGTTCACAGATACCAAATTGCTCACTCTATGGGAATATTGTACAATACTTCCCTCCTAAGTGAATCATTAACTTGAAGTCTATGAATAGCTGATGTACTCTCATTATACTCCCTTTTTTTTTTGCCAGTATCGGATGAATGCAAAAAAAAATCTGATCAGTAGTTGATCTGTTACACTGAAACCCACACTGGTGGTCCCAAAGAATTTAATCTGCATGTGGACTTAACCTTGAAAGAAGGATATTGGATAACATTTTGTATTAAGTTCAGAGAAGTGATACCCCACTTTAATTACTACAGTCAGTTTTGTCTCCTTTCTTGTGAATTAGTACAGTTAATTCGCTTAGTGGGGTGTGGAGTCCAACTGGGTCCACTTGGAACGGCGGCCGCTGATTGGCCTATTGTAGGCTGCCCCGTGTGATTATGATGATGGAGAATTTGGTGGAATGAAGATTGGTAGGGGAAAGCGAAGTACTCGGAGAAAACCCTCCCCAGCGCCACTTTGTCCACCACAAATCCCACTTGACCAGACCGGGGATCGAACCCAGGCCGCTACGGTGGGAAGCCAGCGACTAACCACTTGAGCTATGGCGCGGCCACAATTGGTACAATAATAGACTCTTTCCAGTGATCAGGCAGTTCTTCCATATTCAAAATAGAATTAATGAGTTTATGGATCTTAGACCCAATACCGTATTTACGCATGTATAGGCCGCAGCACAATTTTCAGACAGAAATTATAGAAAAAATAATTTTCTTGGAATATTATTTCAGGAGTATTACACCCTGTATTACTAATTATGAATATAATTTTTTTTAAATGAAGTGTGATTTCGAATATTTCGAATATAAGCCGCACCCCAGTTTTCCTCTTGAATTTTTGACAAAAAATGTGCGGCCTATACATGCGTAAATACGGTATTTCACCTTGAATCATTTCTGCTGGAATCTGATCACTACCTCGCAATTTATACCTTACCATTTTCAACCTTAAAAGTACTAGGATCAGGTACTAATGACTGGGCTGTACGTATTTCTGTCTGCCTAATATTACTGACTCTATGTACATTCAGTAACAGAGAAGTGGTTCTTCCACCTATTCAAAATGTTGTGGGAATCTGCAAACAGATTACCATGCTCATTCTTCATTAAGTTACTTCTAGGTTAGTAACCCCTATTAAATTAATTTATTCCTCTATAGAGGTGTCCAGTGTTGAGTGTCCAGTGTTCTCCCTGTTGAGGTCAAGCTCATTGATTTTGTCTTTTGGATAATCCCTTTTTTTGTTATTTCTGAAATTCCTGTTTGTTTCATGTCTTATATTGTTCATGTATTATTCACATTTATTTTGCTTGGATTCTATAACTACTGTAGTTTGACATTTTCTCTTTGAGCTAATAATTCTGAACATCCTTCAATGACCCATGGCTTATTGCTTGTTCAGTTTGTAATAACCTAGACTCTCTGTGTCTGAAATTTCGATATTCTCTCTCATAGTTTTACAAGCTATAATAATATCCACGTCAATGACAGTTTTCCAAAGCTGTGAACCTGTTTGAGATTTCAACATGATACTGCTCTCTATTCCCTACCTATTTGCATTTCTTGAGATTGAACCTCTCCATATGAAATCTGTGCATTGTTTGTTTACTCAGTGTCTGTCTCTCCCTAACTTTTGCCACCAGCAGATAGTGGTCAGTATCACAGTCTTGCCCCCCCCCCCC